AGTGCTTGCTGAAATTTAGCATCTTTAGATGGATCTGAATCGCGCGCTAATCCGGCAATTTTATATTTTTATTATATTAGGTATTGCAAAAATAATCCAAAATATTTATTTTTACTAAAAAACTGCCGAAGGCCTTTTTATTACGGTTTTAGTTTTTTACCTTGTTTTAGTTTATTACGGTCAAATAATATTTATTAGGTTGTAAAGCAAGTATTTACAAATGATTTCATTATTTTCTTATTATATTGTTTACAGTTATTATCACCTCTTAGCTTGCATTAGAATTTCGTGGTAGGATGCGATGTAACGCGGCGGATACCATATTTTCGCTAAGAACAATAATATATATATATATATATATATATATATATATATATATATATATATATGTTTTTTTACCAGTAGGCTTTCAACACAATCTTAAAAAAATTCAATGAATTAAAAAAATGTCGATAATTATATCATTTCAAGTCGGTGTTTTACATTTGAAGGTCAGTTATAAAGAGCCAAAGTCAAATTTTCATTTCGATTAATTTATTTCGAGACTAAAATAAATGTGAAAGTGCTTTTATCTGCAATAATAATTTTCATCAAAAATACTCGTAACATAGACCTATTAAAGTCATACACACGGTCAATCATAATGAAAATTATCAATTGTACTACAAAATATTTTAAAGACTATTTCCAGTATAATGACCCGAATATCATCATTAATCTTTGACTGGCGCGCTTAAAAGTTTTATCACATGGCTAAATGATTGACTAATATATTATGATAAAGTCATGTTTTTCTATTAAAAGCTGCAAGAAATTTTAAATCACGGACCTATTGGTTAGTTTTACTATTCACTTAATTAGTAAAAAACAAGCAGGACTGATCCCTTTTACTGCAAACGAGGCATTCCATCTTAGTCCTCACGGGTGACAACGCATCTACATTTTAATTCGTAGTCAAGGATAGATGTAGATGGCTATGGGTCACAGCAACTAGGTACATATCATCAGGTGGACTGTGTGCTCATTTGTCTCTCTTATCCTATAAAAAAATCTTAAAGTTCACTTTCTTGTGTAGAAAGTGCTATTTAGAATCTTATGCAAATGATAATTAATTAAAGTTTCTATGTAAATAAGTGTAACATAGCGGGTATTATATTCAATGGTAGCGGCCATCCATATTTGCAAAGCCAGCATCATTTTCTGTACAGAAACCGGCAAAGTGTTGCTCAAGGCTCTATAAACAAAGCAGCTGATAAAAATGTTACACTCATAACTGTTAACAAAAACTGTTTCTGCAAGTGAGCATAAAATAAAAAATAACTTCAGCCAAAGAGCACAACTGGCATTATACTCAGGCCCATCAATTGGTATGGAAAAAAATAATTTTACCAGATTTCAAAAAATCAATCAAAATTCAAAAAACATAAATATTAAAATCAAAAAATATATATCTCTATGTCTACACATACATATAATGATTTATGGCCACTTAGTAACTGACGGCGACTCAGTATAACATCCTACAGTCCGCCGAAACTAAGAGGAGAGAATCACTGTAGAAAAGATAATAATTTATTGCGGAAATTTTGTGATTAAATTTAAAAATGAAAACAGGAATTTTACAATTGTGTTTACAAGACATTAATAGTTGAATTTTGCAGCTTTTTCATTATTTTTATTATAAATATTTAAATGTATATATTATTATAAATAATTCCCATAATATTTTGTATTATTATTTATTTTGCCCTATCTGCAACGTTCTACGCTTTATACAAAATGTGGCGTTTGACATGATTGACAATCTCTCGAACATTTTATCTAGGTCCAAAGATTTTTTACTTTTTCGTCGCCTCCACAGGATATTTTTGTCAGCATAAGGTACCCTTCTGTATCTGAAACGAATATGAATATTGCTACAAAGTTAAGTAATAGGCGATACAAGTCCCTCGACTGGGCACAGGACTCTTTTTATTTCTGAGAGGGTTTTAGGGCAAATAAATGCCCGCCGCGCTGCCCCAATGCGTGTTGACGAAAATTGCAATTACAAATTTCATTCGTGCTGCCGGGGATCAAACCCGGGAAAAATTTACAGCGAACGCTTTGACCCAGAGCTACTAATACGAAACAAATAAATACGACTTAATATATATAATAAAAACTTTTACGTCCTTGAAACTTGAACACTTGATAGCTCGTGATGCATACCGGACAAAGCTACAGCACCATACCGTGCAATGTAATTGAAGATGCGTAACTGCGACATAATTCTCAGTGATGCGCAAGCATAACAGGCAGTATGTCACTTATATAATTGTCACCTCTGCAGTCTATTGCAGAGGTGACAATCTTTGCACTTTTATAAGTAATACAGAACGTAGTCGCTAGACGGTGTTGACGTCATTCAGGCTAGTTAAAGCCTTAAAAGAATGGAACTGAAAAATTTTGACATCATGCAAAAAATGCAAAAAAGAGACGTGTTAGTTAGTTTTGATTAGATTATACCTTAATAGAACTATGATATACAATGAATATAGGCATTCCCCATATATTTTCTTATAGACGGGATATTTGCCATAGGTGCCACGCTTGGCAAGCGGATTGGCAACTGCAGTTTTTTTTTATTTTTAGTCTTTATGAGTGCAACGCTGCTGCCCATCATCTGATTTGTTTGCCTCTGTCACCTCTTATGACACCCACGAGACGATATGGCGTGGTAGAAATATTTACTCCGTCAATAAACGGTAAATTCTGCATTTTCATTGCACTGCACACAACACACCATCACAGGTAACCTATTTAACTGGGAGCAAGGATCAATTGTAGTGAATTTTTGCTTAAGTACATTAATAATCAAACACTAAAATAGTAGGCAACAACTTCCCAGCCCTAGGTTGTTGATCTACATATTGATAAGCTCAGAGGAGATCCGTTCGCTGCGTAAACTGGAAGGGTCGACACGTGACTGATATTTCGATGCTCGCCGCAGAACTCCTTGGGTCGCACTTGAAGTAATTTATTACTGAACACGTATCCTTTCATTAAACTTGTTATCAAGGTTACGTTTAAAATAATTCTCTCTTAGGTGTATTGTGACATCTGAGAATGAAGACGGAAAACCTGGAATCATAATGGATTTCTATTCCTACTGAAATACAGACAGTAAGAGTTAAGGGAGCTCTACCTCTTAGCTAAGGTTTATGTTTACGACAAATCTTGTTTACGCCAGCCTCGTTGGTCTGATAGTTGTAAATATGGTTGAAAATGATGAGATCCCGGGTTTGAATTCATGGTCGGGCCAAAATCAGTATTGGTTTTTATGTCAAGGAATTCTCACTAGTAGCAATTATTTATTCTGTGCTAGTAGCCTGGAGTCAGAAAGTTGGTGGTGTTTCGCCCCGGTTCCTCGGAAAGAACGTTAAACTTTTTTACCCGCGCCTGAGCTCTCTTCGGCCGTGTCGGCGCATACAATCGTGCACCATAATGCTGACCTGCACAGATGGCTAATCTCCTTTGAGACTGACTGAAATTTAGTCTGGAGGACATGAAATTGTGTTAATTCGCGAGAGGCATTTTCAGAGGTATTTTTCACGGGCTAGCGATCATGGATTCACAGATAAGAATAAGTTAATTCTATTATATTACAATGAGTCTCGAAGTCCAAATTCCAAGAGATTTCAAAACTTTTGTTATAAATAGTTCATACAACTACTGCAATATGCTGAAATTGGTCTAAGTTATAACAAAAAAGCGTAATTGATTTAAGGGATTAATTAGTGTTGTAAGTGTGCTCTGCACAGACGATACAGATTAATTCTCTGAGAATTTTTGACCGACAAAGTTCGGGAAGCTTAGGAAAATAACATTTCCGACATATTTCTTTCTTGTTCTTGTATGTATTTTATATTAATATGACTCAGGAACTAAAAGTCAATATGATGGTTAAACGATATTGGAGTCAATAGATACGAACAAGTAGTAGTTTTTACAGTGGTAGAGCCACGCGGCAGTTTTTGCTGTCGCACGGATGGGCCGGCTCGAACCGGGGTAGTACCACGACCTCACAGAAAACCAGCGTGAAGTAGAGGTTTACCTCTGCGTTTCGCTTGGTGAGTGCAGGTGGCCAGAGACCCTTTTTACTTGAAATGAGGCATTCCATCTTAGTCCTCACGGGTAACAACGCATCTACATTTTGATTTGTAACAGAGAATAGATGTAGACGTCTATGGGCCGCAGCAACCACTTACCATCAGGTGGACTGTGTGCTCGTTTGTCACCCTTATCCTATAAAAAAAAACAACCAAGTTAAAAGAAATAGGGCTATAGATGCGTCGATACCTTAAGAGGACAAATATTGCCACGGATGACCAGTGAACGTATGCGGCTTTGCAAATAAAATAGATAAGGACCATAGTGACTATTACAATATTATTAAAACAGCTACGGGACGAAAAAGTTGTATTTTTTACTTTGAAATTTTGAAGTTTATATGCATGTATACATTCATAGCATATTATACTAGCGACCCACCCCGGAATCACCTGGGTAGGATCTATTAATTTGGCGTTATTTAAACCCATTTAATTCATCAATTTTTCCGTTTCTCAAGAAATATCTTCAAGTATTTCTGATATCTTACCCAATCACCTCTCAATCTATTAGTGAAGTTTATCGAAATAATTTTGGCCGTTTAGCACAAGGGAATAATTGATCTTTGAAAATTCTAAAGTACGCGAGCTACCCGAGTCGAGAACCTTGCCGACACAAATGAAGTTGTTCATTGCAATTTGAAGTACTATACTCGTTGTTAAGTATGCGGACAGGGAGCGAGTTAAACGGCCGGTAGCTTGCTATGCACTGGTTTATTAACAGAGGGTGCGTGGGCACAGCCACGCATTGTAATAGATAGATATACAAATGTATATACATACATAACAATTCCCCACCCTATTTTAGAATACAAGAATAAAATAAATTATAATAAAGAAGACAACTATAACCTAAAAGAAACGCTTATAATCAACCTTGGGACGGGGGCGCAGTCTATTTCTAGTGGCTTCGATTCGACCACCATTAAAATCTGCTTCTGCTTCGTGGAACTCGTCGTCCTCCTCCAACCGAGGCGGCACAGGGTTCTCTGCTTCATCACTTTCCCCTCGACGTGGCGAACCTTCTCGCTCTGCCGTGGTAACTAGGCTGGGATCTATGGTAGACGCCGGATGAAGTGGTGACGATGATGATGATGATGGTGATGGTGATGCCGGCAGTGATGGCGGTGGTGTAAAAGTGTTTCCGGTGTCGCAAGTGTTCCCTTTCTCGTAAGCGTCCACGTCCCATGCGTTATAGTCATTACTTTGAGCTTTATATAAAATTAATTGATTTTTATGTTTTCGATAACATATTTGCGTGTCCCAATCTTTTACTAAGTAGATAACTTTGCCAATTCTTTTTGTTATCGTTCCCTTACACCAGGTAAACTTGTTATTTACATATTTTTTATATAAAACGAAAGTTCCAGGTAGCATTTGCTTAATACGTACTGGTTCTTCCTTCTGTGGACATTTTTGCGCATTTATCAAATCGGATGAAGCCGCAGACGCAGACAGCGATGACGTAGGTACCAATCTGTCTAAGCGCGAGTTTAGCTTTCGCCCGAAAATCAACTCGGCGGGTGACATGCCGGTGGTCGAGTGCTTTGAATTCCGGTAATCAAACAAAAACTTTAATAAATTATTTTTTGATTGTTTTGTGTTGCTGCTAGACATAATACTTGATTTTATACCCTTTTTGACTATTTTTACATAACTTTCGGCTTGACCGTTACTTGCCGGGTGATACGGTGGCGACGTAACGTGTGATATCCCGTTTACTTCACAGAAACGTTTAAATTCTTGTGAAGTAAACGCCGTTCCATTGTCGCTTACAATCGTTTGCGGTATGCCGAACCTAGACATGAATTCGTACATCTTTTCAATGACTGTATCGGAGGAAGTAGAACTAGCTGTATCGTATATCTCCGGCCATTTAGAGTACGAATCAATGACCACTAAATACATTCGACCGGCTATGGGACCCAGGAAATCCATATGTACGCGGGTGAAAGGGTGGTGTGTCCGAGGCCAGGGGGCCGGCGGCACGCGCGGTGGAGATGGCCGCAGGTTGATGCATACCTCACATGTCCCTATCATATGCTCCACGGCCTCATCTACGCCCGGAAACCAAAATCTGGATCGAACTTCGGCCTTGGTTTTTACGATACCCAGATGTGTTTTGTGTAACTCGGCTAACACCCTTTTACGCAACGTCTCGGGAATCACGATCTTATGACCTCTCATTAAGCATCCATTTTCAACCGAGAATTGCGTTCTACATGAAAAATAAGGCTTAAGGTACAAATCACTTATTTTCTTAGGCCAACCGTGTTTAACATATTCGGTTACTTTAGATAAAATTTTGTCCCTTTTTGTTTCATCCCGTAGTTCCGAAACCGTAATCGGTAAACTCGTGTCGACCACAAAACACACGTAAGCCGCGCAGTCGCTCGAAGTGAAGTCGTCCGCAGTGCACGTATCGAGTGCGCCTGCACCCGTGTCGGGCGCGCGCCTCGCCTCCGAAATACTTGAGCGAGACAAATAGTCGGCGCTGTTATCAGCGCTTCGTATATACTCGATCGTATAGTTATACGCGCTTAAAAACATTGCGTACCTCTGCAGTCGATTCGCCGATACTTCCGGAATGCCTTTGTACGGTCCGAATATCGAAATTAGTGGCTTATGATCTGTTCTTAATACAAACGGATTTGTTCTACCGTACAAATACTGATGGAAGCGCCGAATTCCAAATATAATTGCGGTCGCTTCTTTCTGTATTTGTGAATATCGTTTTTCTGCGATATTTAGAGTTCGCGATGCAAACGAAATCGGTCTTTCTTGCCCGTCGGAACCTACTTGCGACAGTATCGCACCCAAGCCAACCGGAGACGCGTCTACAGTCAGGATTAGCCTTGCTTCGGGGTTGAAGTGGGCGAGTACCTGGTCTGAAGCTAATAACAGTTTTATTTTTGTGAATGCCTCATGATGATCTAGACCCCACGACCATTTTACCCCCTTTTTTAGCAGATTATAAAGTGGGCTTAAAACAGACGCTGCACTCGGTACAAAGTTTCGATAATAATTTACTAGGCCCAAAAACGATTGCAGTTGGCTTATATTTGATGGTGCAGGGGAGTCTACTATTGCTTTAATTTTATCTGGAGACTTTTTCAACCCATTTTTATTGATAACATAACCCAAGTAGTTAACCTCATCTTTATAGAACTCGCACTTCTCCCTTTGCAAGGTCAATCCTGCTTCTTGTAAGGTCTGCAACACCGCCCGGAGGCGTGCAGCGTGCTCGGCGTCGTCACGCCCCGTAATGAGCACGTCATCCAACAAACACAGCACGCCCTCCTGTCCACCAATTAGGCCCTCCATCGCACGCTGAAAAATTGCTGGCGCTGGAGCAAGCCCAAAGACTAGCCTAGTATACTTGTATAATCCACGATGAGTATTAATTACAGTGTACCTTTGTGACTCGTCATCCAGCTCAAATTGGTTATAAGCCATAGATAAGTCTAATTTGGTGAATTTTTTTCCACCATAAAGCTTTGCAAACAATTCCTTGGCAGTTGGCAGAGGATACTGGTTGATAATTAATTGCCTATTAATACTAACCGAGTAATCGGCACACAAGCGAATAGTGCCATTTCTTTTTAAAACAGGGACTATAGGGGACGCATAGTCTGCGTGGTCAACCGGTTTTATTACCCCTAACTCAACCATTCTATCTAGTTCATTATTTATTTTATTCCGTAGGGCAAATGCAATCGGTCTCGCTTTAAAGAAAACTGGTTTTGCATTATCTTTTAACTGTAAGTGCACCTTATGTTTAGTAAAACGACCTAATTTATCCGAAAAAAGAACTGGAAATTGACATTGCAGTTCTTCCACGGAGGGAAGGGTACCCTGACAGTAATTCACCGTTGATAAAACTGACGATAACTCTAATTGGAATGTAGATATAAAGTCCCTACCGAGGAGCGGCGGCCCGCCGTCCCGGACGACGTACACGTCGAGCGTGTGTGAGCGGTTAGTATAGTACACGGGTAACCGGATTGTGCCTACACATGTTATGCTATCACCCGTGTAGCTCATCAACCTTTTATGCGGAACAATCAATGGAATATCTTTAAAATGAGATTTGTATAATTTTTCCGGTATCACCGTTACGGCGGAACCGCTATCTATTTCAAACTTAAACGCCATTCCCCGAATAAACACGGTCTCGACCATCGGTTCACCCCGCAACGAACGAATTTTAAATACCTTACCATCATCATCGATGTTTTCGTCTCCGGCTCCATTATCTACGTAGTTAACTTTATTTGACGTACACATTCTACGTAGATGGCCTACGACGTTACACTTCCTACATACGAAATCCGCGTACCGGCACTCCGAAGCCTTGTGGTTCGTATAGCCACACACTTTACACTTTTGTTTTACCGGAAGATCACTTTTTACACTTCTTGCACCTTTACCTCTTGATCTAATCTTGTACAACGCGCTGGTAGAAGCTGCGGACGCGTCGGCTGTACTGGCACTGGCGATTGCAGCTGATTTCGCACAACGGACGTTTTCAGCAAATTCTACAGCTTTCGTGAGAGTTAGATTTGTAATATCTTGGGCGTAAAGTTTCTTTTTCTCAAGACTAGGCATCATTCTCATAATAAACCGGTCTCGTAGGGCCTCTTCGATATCATGGAAAGCGCAGCGTGACGTAAGACCGCGCAGTCTCGCGGCCCACTGTGAATGTGTTTCACCGGGTTGCTGCGATGTTGCATAGAAGTTGTGTCGTTCCGTGAAACCGACAATCTTCGGGTTAAAATGGATGTCGAAGAATCGTAGGATGTCTTCGTCGGGCACCTCCTGCACATCCTTGGGTAAGGCTAAATTCTCAGCGAGCCTATAGGTACCCTCCGAGAGTGCACTTAGCAAAATTGCTCTTCTCTTTTTCCCGCTCGGATCCGTCGTGTTATTAATTTCATTTGCCAAGAACCACTGATTTATTCGGCTTTTATAAGTTTTCCACTCCTGTATATCGTGGTTAAAACTGGATAATATTCCAAAATATGAATTAGCCATTTTTAATTACTTTTTGCGCGGGTACTCGTCGCCAATGTTAAGTATGCGGACAGGGAGCGAGTTAAACGGCCGGTAGCTTGCTATGCACTGGTTTATTAAGGCGCAGGTTGAGCAAAATGTCGCGCTAGTCGTTATTTGTGCGGTTTTTAGAAGCTATCTACTTTTTATTTAAAAGATATATCAACAAATAAAAAACACATTATATTTCTACATAATCTTGATTCCATAAAAGCTATATCCAATTTTTTTTAAAACGAATAAATATTAATATAATCTCCTTACAACGAAACCACATAAGTGTGAAATTATTATTGATAACATGGATCTCCTCGTAAAGTAAGTATTATTTTATTTTGCGATTTACACCAATGGATAGACAATTTATTAATAAACATTTCTATAGTAAATTTTTTTTCAAAAGACCAAAATTTGATTTTATTAAGAAATTATTTTAAAATCTGGGCATATTCACTGCTCACGGGCTTGCTAGAGTCAGTGAGCCCTGAGCTCTTCAACGCGAAGCCCGTGTCGTTAGAGCGTCGACCAGCGCCGCATACACTCACGTAATATCAGTCGATAAAGAATATTACTTATTAGGTTATTTATAGGTAGTATTATTTGTTTGTTTTGGGTATAATTTTTCGTATTAGTTATACATATATTTGTTGTGTTTTTTACTGCGCGATGAAGCTTTTTGCGTGTATTTTCTTTGAAGTAAATGCAAATAAAAAAATGAAGCACCATTGGCATGTAAGGTTCGAATCCATAATTAAAATTTCGATAAATATTATAATTTACACTATAAAAGGCTAATTCAATATTATCACCCAACCACAATATCTTATTACGTACAGTACTGCCTCGTTGGTCTAGTGGTTGTAGTAGTGCGACTGCTGATCATTAGGTCCCGGGTTCGAATCCTGGGTCGGGCCCTGTCAGTTATGAGTTTTTCATTTATGTTCTAAGTTATAATTAGTATTACTAAGTTATAAGTTATAGTTTTTTGCTAAAATATAGTATATTATTTATTGCTTGTTTTTTCTTCTTTTTCAAAAAATAATTGAGTACATAAGGTGTTCTATACTTATAATTCGGTAAAAAGTATCTAAGTAGGTACTAATATACCTACTTTTTACTACTAAAAATTTTTAAAACTAAATTTAACTAAAAAGACTAAACTGACCATTTATTTTTTAACTCAAAACAGGACATGGGTTTATTTATACTCTAAAAACTATAACTTTATACAATTAGTGTTCACTGTAAAATTATATTCGGTATAGACGGTAATTATTAAATGCAACATATTTTTCTTAATTATTAATTACATTTGTCAGTGGATTAAATTTTCTTTAATAAAGTTGGTGATGATTTTAAATAAAAATAAAATTCTGCTCAAGTTTTTTTATTGTTATCTTTGTTAACAACATCGCCTTTAGAACTCTGGAACCGTAAGTGTTTCTTTCAGACGTCCACAATTTATTCAAAATAAAAAAAATACTCTTTCTACCGGAGCATTCGTAGCAGGTAGACATAAAATATATTCGATTAAAAAAAATTATGTTGAAGATTGTTGACTTTGAATACTTCCATCCAACGAGTTACGGGACAATTTTGTGTCCCGGAGCTTTGTTTGGGGACAATGGGACAGGTGACCGAGAAAAGGGACAGTCCCGTTCAAAACGGGACATGTGGTCACTTTAGCTATAACCCGGCGACGGCTACGTGGGGCAGTGGCTTAGCAATTAGTTGTTGCGCTGGGGGCCGCGGGTTCGAATCCCGCACGGAACAAGTATTTGTATGGCTTACAAATAATTGTTCCGGGTCTGGATGTTTGTCCTTGTGCAATTTATGTTTGTAAACTGCCTCCACGACACAGGAGAAAATCCTAGTGTGGGGGTAACGTTTTTTTACAATTGAAATTGAAAGATTGAACCCTTATACTTCTTGTTGATTTTTGTATTAGTACTCGTAGTTAGGTATATTACTTTTCAATACGTGACACGTAAAAATTAACAATAATCAAAAACACATCTACGAAACATCCTATTTATTTATTTATTCTTTCTTGCACCAAATATTTATACAAAAGGCGAGCTATATATTTATTTACCTATAGTGAATAGGTATCTTTTAAACTCACAATTTTCAATGCTTCATTTTTAATATATAATTAATTATAAAATTTCATAATTAGATAATATATGAAAATACATAATTCTAATATAATGCAACTAATATACCGAATAAAAAAATTAAAATACATTTATCGTTGTACGCTGTGTGTATTTCCATAAATTAGTTCATTGATGTTGAAAAAATAATACTACGTTCGTACCTACAATAGGTGGTGGCGTCGTACATATTTCAAATAAGCAATATATTGAGGCGAGCGGCGTGCCGCCGGCAAAATGCTCAAGGTCGTTCGCATGGAGTAGCCCCTTAACAGAGGGTGCGTGGGCACAGCCACGCATTGTAATAGATAGATATACAAATGTACATACATACATAACACTCGTATACTGATTTACCACAAGTTCGAAAGTGCAGAAAAATATTGCAAGGTCAGGTTGTAACCTGCATGTTTTAGAAATTAAAAAAATCTAAATTATGTGAGGTCAACGTGAATACTTTTACACTGGCGTTTTTAAACGATAGTTTATTGTTTCTCTAATTCTCCTGGGATTCTATTTCATCCATTAATACATTAGAGTCTATAAAAATCCACTTCTGAATAAATACTTCTCTCACAGATTGCATTATACGGGGGATTTTGCCATAGTTGCCACGCTTGGCAGACGTGTTTGCAACCGTAGTTTTTATTATTTAGTGTTGTAATCAGGACGATGCTGTACACCTTCTGTTTCAGTTTTCCTCTGTTGCCTCTCCCCGTGTCGAAAACATGGAACGATATTGGGTAGTGGGTATTCTTACAACGTCACCACATAGTTACAGTAAATACGCTCCCGGGGTCGTCTTATAGAAAAAATATGCAAATGTTATGAATTGCACCAAACATCAAGGCACTGATAGACAAGATATTTCAGCGTCATTCCTAGGAGAAGTGCTCGAAACGTAAAATTAGTCGCTGGAGAGATTGAATTTGTAATGTGTTCTGTGTCATTTAAACAACTCAAAACTTAACCGTGGAGTTCGTCCGAGAAACTGAAATGTTATTTCTGTTCGAAGTTTAATAGGACGAGTGTCTAAGCATGCACTTCAATGTAATTTGAGCATTTTATTCTAATAGCTAGCTATCACAATTTCCAAGTTTCTAAGAATTTGAAATGACATTTGCTTTACATACCACGTGACCTATTTTAGTACCTACCGCAGGATGCCGTGGCTGATTTGAATACCAATCGTAGCTAACCTTGAACAAGCACAGTCGTTGGTTTCATAACATGAATGTACTGTATGTATATTCATTATGAGTGTTTACATACAATTATGAGTGTTTGTTTTTGTGTGTGTATTTTAAGAGTGATATAGCAAATTTATGTAGCAGAAGTGAATGGCAGAGTCGGCAAGAGACGCGCTGGAACTCTAGACGGAAATGTATCTACCAGATTGGTTATAATAATAAAAATAATAATATTTAGAACATTTTACATGACGTTACAGATCAGCATGTTTTGCTACGGTTATACATAGCTACATAGCATGCAAATATTTTTTTATATACATTAATGCTACAAAAATCCCTTACGCTATAGAAGTTACTTTCATTCAACCACTGAAACAGTTTTAATTAAAATAATCTGATATTTAATAGTTTTAAGTTATTAGGTATTTTATTATATAAGCCTGTACACATAAATAAACTACTTTGGTTATATTTTTTTTTCTGAGAGTGCAGTTTAGTACAAACCTATAAAGGGTATTTTTGGAACGCTCCCGAAAACTAAGACAGGCGACAACACCAAGCATACCTTTGATCATGGGTCACAAATAAATTCGATCCTGATGAAAAAAAAATCATCTTTTTACAACGTTTTATTAGCTTTATTCACGCGCCATCATGTAAGTACAGCTAAATGAAACGATAATTTCATAAAAAATATCATGAAAATAATGAAACATAAAACCAGCAGTGGAATTACTGAATTGATATCACCTGATCAAAGGTCAATGTACGCGCGAACGCAAATTCGCGCGGCCCGTAACTAGCGGGCCATACCACAATACCTAATAATTTACAACACTTGTCTAAATACCTAACTTATCTACTTAACCTACTATTTTGCCACTGTGCTTGTCTCCACGTAGCCACTTTAATCCGAATTTACAGGTTAAATAACCCAAATAACTGGTTCGATTCCCCGCTAATGAAAAAATACTTAAATGAAATGTAACCAAGGTTGGAGTCATGCGTTTTTATTCATCGTGTAGGTATGTTTATTATTCTCATTTATTCAGTTATGTACCTATTCAGATTAGTCTAGTACTAAGTTATTTAAAAATATAGTTATGAAACAGCTTACCGCTCTAAATCCTCCGTGGTCTTATGAGATGCGGCTCAAATTGTGCTCCATTCATTTTAAGGTAGATTTGGGTGCAGGCGGGGCATCATCGTGTGGTCTTCGACACAGTCTGAACGTAGTTTCTCGAAAGCATCCACGATCCTTTGGCGCATTTCGTCAGCACTATCACACTCACGATTAAAAACCCTTTCTTTCACATACCCCACAAAAAGAAGTCTAACGGGGTCAGATCTGGTGAGTGAGGTGGCCAAGCGTGTGGTCCTATTCTGCCGATCTAGCGATCATCAAATAGTTCATTGAGGCGCTCACGGACGAACCTCACGAAATGTGGAGGGGTACAATCATGCTGGAACTATGTGCGGCGATATTCAGCCAACGATAGGTCGTTTAAAATGTCAACCAACTGTTCATTTATAAAGTTTAGGTATCGCTGTCCGTTCAGTCGCTCTGACAGAAACACTGGTCCCAGTATGCGATCCTTAAATAAACCTGCCCATACGCTAACCGACCATCGGG